TGGTAGAGGTAGTAGTGTAGATCGTGGAGGACGTGGTAGACCTGGAAGAGGGGGCATGTATTCGTCCCATTATTCACGCGGAGTTGGTTTCGACGATTCCGGCGATGGGATACGAATCGAAGGCCAATCATTCCAGGTGCAAAGTTCATACTTTTTTTTTTATTAGAACATGATGTTATATAACATTGCATAATCTTTTCTAAATATTTGTTATATTTGTCTTTTACGTATAATTTATATAATCTCTCATATTTTATTTTTTTTTAACACTATAAATTTTTGAAATTTACAGGGAAGAAACAGGCCATTCGATAGATCTCAAAGCGAACGTGGCTGGTCAGAAAGAAATGGCGTTTCAGAGCCAGGAGAGTGGAATGGGTCGACTAGTCCTAGGAAGGAACTTAGTCGCGGAATTAGCGGTAGTTCGCTCGCGGAGAATAATTGGAGACGTCATCGCGGTAGCGGAGAGGACGACGATGGTTGGCGCAAGTGGGGTAAATAAGCGAATTACTCCGCTTGAAAGATCTCACGATGTGTATATTTACGTAACGAGATATATTTATTTTAGGAAGAAATAGTTGGCGCGAAAGTGGCAGTATGGATCGAGACAGGTTGGATCGAAATGTGGAGGGCGACGGGGAGGAGGGTAGAAGCGTACCGGGAAGATGGGAACATCGAGGAAACCACAGACCTTCCCACGACTCTGGTCACCATCCGCCCCCTCGTACCGCTCGCACTTGGGAATCGAATCATCACGATAACCATGACAATCTACCAGAATGGTACATTAGATAATTCTGTTACATTACGTATTTCCTTTTTTTTTTTACTTATTACTATTTTAAACTTGACGCTTTTCAGGGCAACGGAGAATCCGAGCGAAAGCGGTGGCAGTTTCGATTCTTCGGGCGCATTTCACGGCGGAATGTATTCGGATGATGACGAGGACGGTACGGCGGGTGCTTCCCAACACGGCAGAACTCGACGCGTTTCGGAAGGAAGTGCTTCGAACGTAGTGAAATCCAATAGCAAGCCGTTGGCTATTGGAACGGGTTCTGTTCAATCATTGAATCGCCATATGAATAACACAGCAACCGGTACATTAAGTAAGGAACGCACGAAACCTTTGGAGCCACTCGAGGACAAGGACAATTCCATAGGGAAAGAAAGGAGATCCAATTCGCCTCCCGTTAAGCCGACCACCGCGCCATCGACTGAGAGTATTACCACGAAGACCTTGACGACATCGTCGGATCTGCTGCAAAAGAAGACTGTCGGACCCGCGAATGTAGATAAGGTGAAGCCTGGTGAGAAATCTAGCGAGCCGCCGAGCGGTCCTCATATTAAAAAAGAGAGTGCGCCGACGGAGGTGAAGGTGGAACCGCAAATAACTACCGCGACCGTTCGACCTCTGGAGCAGTCGAAGCCCATTCACAATACAGGCACTGCTAGCGTCAGGCAGAGAACGGAGGACGACTTGGACAGAATGAAGGAGGAGGCCGACGCTCTGGTGGCCAAATTAATGGCGGACGAGGAAAATCACAAAGAGAAGTCGGCGCCCGTCAGTGCGCCGCCTGCAATTGGTAACCAACCTACCGCGGTTCCTCCCACGGGTAATCAAGAAAAATGGTTTTACCGTGATCCGCAGGGCGAAGTTCAGGGACCGTTTTTAGCTAATGAAATGGCTGAATGGTGCAAAGCTGGTTACTTCACCGCAGGATTATTGGTGAGAAGAACCTGCGATGAAAGATACGCTACTCTCGGTGATCTCATGAAAATGTACGGAAGAATGCCCTTCACACCTGGTCCACCAATACCCCCGCTAAAGGTACTGCGATACATTCCTTTCATATTTATTCATTAGATGTCGGAATGAATTCTTTCTCTACTAAAAAAAGAACAAAACTAACTCGAAATAATCTCTATTGTTTTGCATCATCTTTCGAACAGTTGTATCCCGTTGCAATCATAACTTGACGGCTTTGAGACAATAAGGGTAATAAATCAGTCAGAAAAAATTCATTTCTACATCCAGTACTTTAGTATGTACATTAAATTATCTTACTAATTTAGAACTTGAATGCAATATAGCATAGATACCTTAGTGTTCAGCTTGAAGATAGATGTTTGAATACTCTAAGAAAAAACAATAAAAGAATAAAATATTTATTTATTTATAATTTAGGTTAGATTTATCTAATCTATAATATTTAAGTTCATAGAGGATAGTCGAAAGAAAAGGAAGCTTGCAAAGTTATATGCTGTTATTGCATGCAACTGTTTATTCACTCTCGGATGTGCTCACATCAATAAAATCGGATCTTTTTGTCTGTAGTTATCAGAACAGGTGATTCCACCTGTTCCTAGCAACGTGCCGGCTGGACTGACCGCTGGTGCTTTACCGAAGGCGGGAATGGAGGATCCACTATTGTTACTGCAATATCAGCAGATGCACATGCTGCAGAATCAGCTGCTGCTCAGACAAATGAGAACGACAGCGATAGCGAAACTGTCGCAGTCGGAGCACTGGGCGACGCTGAGTCCCGTGGAGCAAAACCAACTGATACAATACGTCGCGCAAGACGGAATACCGGAGATACCGGAAGTGCCGATAGCGACGAATCCGTTTGTCCCTCATCTGCCATCTCAGACGGCTAACGCGACTGTCATGCAACTTTTCAGTCAGATGCAACAGGTAACGACATCGGCTTCACTATTTTTAAATGTTTAATTTCACTGTCATTCTTCAAATGTAACGGCATGGTCGCACAGGCGAAGGCGCAATCTGAGACTCATCTGCCGGCGAATCCGCACACAACCGCGTCGGCTCATCCGGCTGCGGTGGATCCTATACAGCAGCTGATCCAACAGATGGGCGGTATACAGAACTTGCCCACTGTGCAACAGCCGAACATCGCTCCTCCGGCTCCCGCGCCGACGCAGGAGGACAATCCGATAAAGTCCTTGCTGCGTCAACTTAACGTCAGCACAAACGGCCATCCGCAAGCGCCCCACATGGACACTGTGTGGCCGCAACCTCCGCCACAAATGGCTCCTCAGTTTAATGCGCAAAATTGGTTAGCGCAGGTTAGAACGTTGTACAAACTATTATATACGTGCACAAAATGTACGCGAGTTGCGATGATGTGGAAGAATGTGTTTCACGGTAGTCTGTATAATTTATAATTATTTTGTCTTCCAGGTCGGACCAATTCCCGCGATGCCACCTGGACAATTGCCCAGTTCTCTGTGGGACATGCATGTTAAAGATATGAAAACCGAGCAGCAAATACTGGTAAAGCGATTCTTGTTGAAATTTTTCTCTTTGAAATTATGCAGAACAAAATTGTGAAAAAATTATCGATGTATGATATTATTAATAGTCGATGTACTATTTCCTCTATTTAGGAAGAACAGAATCTTAAGTTACAAGAGGACAGGAAGAAGGAGGAATTAAGAAAGCAAGAGGAATTGCAACGTCAAGCGGAAGAGGAGAACGCAATTAGAAAGCAAAAGGAAGCCCAAGTTAGACAAGCTGAAGAAGCGAAACGTAAAGACGAGGAAAGAAAGAGAAAGGAGGAGGAAAAGAAACGAAAAGAGGAGGAAAAACGCAAGCAAGAGGAGGAGCAAAAGAAAAAAGAAGAGAAGAAACGCAAGGAGGAGGAGAAGAAGCGTGAGGAAAAGAGAAAGCAGGAGGAGGAGAATTTGAAGAAGAAGCAAGAAGAAGAGAAGAGAAAGCGGGATGAACTTAAAAAGCAAGAGGAGAAATTAAAGAAGGAGGAAGAAAAGAAGAAAAAGTTCGAGGAAGAGCAGAAAAAGCAGGAAGAAGAGAGACTCAGGTAATGCTTACGAAGAATTGTGCGAAACATCAATAAAATAATAATTACACGCGTTTAAATAAAATTTCCAATTGTGATTACGCTTAATTTGATTTGTGATTAAATTCAACTTACAGAAAAGAGGCGGAGGTGCGAAGGCAAGTAGAAGCGGAGGAACAGGCGCGTCGCGCGGAACAACGGCGAAGAGAAGCCGAGGCGTTGCGCAAGCTCCAAGAGAGAAATAAAGCTCCGTGGGCTCAGACTCCGCGCGCACTGGCCCCCGCCACGCATACCGCTTCGCTCGCCGAGATTCAGAGACTCGAGAGAGAGAAGAAAGCAGTAAGCGACTCGCGCACTTTATCACGTGCCTACACGCGTATCTACGTTTCTTTCTTTCTTGCAGGAAGAACTGCGGCTGCAGCAATTAATGCAGCAACAACTGGCGGCGCAGCAGAAGGCAGTGGAGGCGGCGCAGGAGGCTTCGGTGATGGACTCTTCGAAACGGCTGCAATTTAAATGGGCGGAAAAAGCGATCGCTTCCAGTAAGCCTCTCCAAGTGAAGAGCCTCGCGCAGATTCAGCAGGAGGAGCAGGAGCGCATCGCAAAGGTAAAAGTTGTTACTAGTTGTATCTTGAATGCGCGAGCGAAATATCGCTCCCGAGATTTCGTGACACGAAGTGGAAACTTTAGCGGCAGGAGAGAGAGCGGCAGGAAAAGACCAACCAGAAGGAATCCGCAAGTATGCTGCAGAACGCTGGGATTTGGGGCACGGCGTCGCAGTGCTTGAGTTGGGCCACAAGCACGTCGAGCAGCCAGGCGTGGTCGAACAACACCGGCACCACCGGCTTTTGGGACGATCCCGCGCCCATTAGATCAAGCACAACTACGAAGCAGCCGACTAAGCAGACTGCAGCTGCGACCAAGTCCACTTCCACTCAGCAGCAGCAGCAGCAACAACAGCAGCAGCAGCAGCAACAGCAGCAGCAGAATAGTAATAACAAGGCGTCCAAGAGCAAGAATAAGAGGGAGGAGGAATTAGTGAAGAAATTATTTGAACAGAACACTGCCAAGACCGACGAATTCACGCAATGGTGCAATAAAGCGTTGAGTGGTATACAGGCGTCTGTGGACAGTAAGTGTTGCACGTCGCACCCTCGTGCGAATCTCGACTATTTGTACCCACACGTATGCATTCGCAGTTCCTACATTCGTTGGGTTTTTGCGAGACATCGAATCGGCGTATGAGGTGAAGGAGTACGTTCGCGTCTACCTCGGTGACACCAAGCAGAGCACGGATTTCGCCAAACAATTCCTGGAAAAGCGGAGCAAATGGCGATCGGCGCAACGTCCCCAGGCGCAGGCGGACGATCTCTGCAAGCCCGCACCGGCTGTTAATCCAAATGCACCGGCGGAGTTTCAAGAAGTGAAGGTATACCGATCGTTGACGTTAGATTCACTATCTTAATATTAAATTTATAAATGTCCCAGTATTCAAACGTTGAGAGTTTATCGTTATTGAAAATACAATTTGTGATTATAAATTAAAAAAGAAAAAATTAGTTCTAAAACTGCTACTTTTCAGTGTTATAAAGTATCACTTGCTCTTAGTAAATTCGTTAAAAATCAGTCTAAATTGTCTTACTTAATATAATCTCATTATCTTATATCAATTCGTTGTATTAATTATAATCGAACTAAATATTATGCAACAATTCTGAATTTTTTTGTACGCAAACATAATTTCGAAAATTTGGACATTTATCTTATTATTATTCTTAATATATATTATTTATTTAATTAGCAAATGAATTAAGTTTACTTAATTAATATCGAAGCATTAATGTCATTAATATCTCTCAAAGTGTGCAAGTGTGCACAATGTTAATCTCGCATTTTCTGTTCAGGGAAAATCTAAGAAACCAAAGAAGGGAAAGATGTTCAAAGTTGACAACAGGATCCTCGGTTTCAGCGTAACTGCAGCTCCCGACCGCATTAATGTAGGCGATCGCGATTACGGTGAAGGCGTGTGAGCTGTTTTATCGATTTACCTCGCGGAAATAATGCGACGCTCGAATCATTAAATGGCTTATTATTTATTTACTATACATGAATGTTGAGAAACTCCACTTGGATCTCGCGAAACATGTGAAGACTTTTTATCACTTAACATACAAAAGAGAAAGCCTCATCCCTTGAAGATCCTTTGAAGATTAGTCAATGGCAGTCCTTATTTAGAATCGATTGAGCGTGGCGTTATTTTCGTACATTAACACAAACAAAGCTCCATTGTACATATTACTCAAAGAATATTTCGCAAGAAAAAAAAAACTTACTTTTTCCTATGTACGTGACATTTAAGGTTGGAAACTTTTATAACATTTCATCGTCATCGACATTTAAAACAAAAAAAAAAAGAAAACAGAGATACGCCAAAACTGATAATAAATGTGTATGCAGAAACGTGGCAGTCAATAGCAATATGTGTATGTAAAGGTGTTCAAAAACGAAAAAAAAAAAAAAAAAAAATAACGTAACTAATTAAGTAATAAATTAGTACG